CGGTTTTTGAGTGTTCTCCACAGGAAGAAGCCGTTCGGCGAAAAATTCTGCGGTCTTTTCCTACTGTAACCCCAATAGACGGAAGTCAGTGTTTTTCTTTTCTTCTACATGAAGAATATTCAAGTTTGTATTTGTATATTATTGTTGTTTTCTTCCTGTTCAATTATTTTTGTCTTTACACTTCCATGTGCCTAAGCCATGACTTTAGTTTCAAACCCCTGCCTAGTTTATTCTTTAAATTGTTGACTTATTCGGTCTAGGCTTTCCGGAGACTGAGCTGCGAACAACTCTAACAGAGCGTGAATACTATTTCCAGCAAAATACCGTTTACCCATTGTAACTTCTTCAGAAGTTGCAAACATCTTAATTATTTTATACAAAATTACTTTATTTGGTACAACCCAAAGAATATACCTAGCTAGAAAAAGAATGGACTCTGCCATACTGAAAAATGGTCCTACAGAAGTGGCGCCATCTATTGAGTTTAAATGGATCAAAGCGCGGGCTTTTTAAATGAGCGTATTTATTGAATTTTACTCTAAAATAATTAAATTTGATTATTAAATTTTATTTTTTACACAAATTCAACAATACTAATGACAAGTATCGTTGTGTTGTGTAAAAAATAAGATTTAACAGTATAATTTATACAATTATTAAATAAAATTAAAGCCAAATATGGGTAAATATTATTTATTATTCAAAGTTAAATAATAAAACAAGACCTACGTAATACACCCAAAGTTTTGTAAATGGAGTAAATATAAATAAGTACTTAAATGATGGCAAAAATAAAAGACTTACATTATATTTTTAGGGCCACAAACAAAAGGAATTGTCTAATTAAAACACATATAACAAATTATAGTTTGAAAAACGTTTTGATAATCATTTCATAATATTATGATTGGCGCTATGACAACGACAATATTTTTTGAGAATTTGACAATAGTATGACAATGGCCGTTGGAAACTATGGAAACTACAAAAAACTTCTTAACCTAAAAATTAATTGCACTACCACCTAGCGCCTGAGGCTGGAACTATTTTATTTGAAATTTCCATGGAAACGGTGGAACCGCTTTTGCTATTTTAATTTCCCGCCCCTGGTACAACCTTCAAATTTTTGTAAACAAAATGTGACATCGAATTTGACAATGACACACATCACATTTTTGCTGGTATTTTAATTGTTTTAATTTAATCTTTCTTTGGTTTGGTTTGGCCGTATTATAAATTTTGCTAATTTGAAGGTAGATTTTTGCATATAACTTTTAAATGACTACTCCAAATGAAACAAAATTCTAGACAAAAGTACAACTCTAGCGCCTCTTCAAAAAAGTATAATACAACTTTTGCATAAAATTATCTGGGGAGATAATATTTGACTTTTTCAAAATTTACATGGATATCCTGTCTCGTGTTTCGATGCATCACACGGTATAATGGATGTTGTAATTTCTATTATTATTTATTTCCTTACACAAACTATAATTAATTTTATAATTAAGAAACTAAAATACCTTAGCTTCTTTTGACCAAAAGTTAATAATAATAAAATATATGATAACAATACACAATATATACAACTTACAATTCTATACATACGAGGCGTTTCGGAAAAAATAAGAAGGATAGGAAAACAATATAACATACGAACATCTTTCAAAACACAAAATACACTCAGATCCATTTTATCACATACTAAACCAATGAATACAGAACAACAAACAAAAAATGTAATATACCAAATACCATGTGAATGCGACAAATTTTACATTGGTGAAACATCTAGACCCTTAAATGTTAGAATTAAAGAACATAAAGATTAATTTAAGAAATGGAGATTTTCACAAACTTAAGATTTGTCAGCATTCATGGGACACAGGGCACATAATAAATTTTAATAACGCCAAAATTATAATGAAAGAAGCGATAGCCTCTAAAAGAAAAAGAAAAGAGGCTTTTTTAATTCAATCTAATAAAAATAAATGTATTGCTCATGCATCTGTAGATGTTAGTAATGTATGGCAATCGCTTCTTTGATTTTAAAGAACATAACATACGTAAAATTTAAAAATTATCATACAGAAAGTTTGAGGCTTTTTGGTTTTACCTTATTAAGTATTTGTTATCAGGTAGTAATTGTTAATTTTGAAGTTTAACTTGATGTTATTTTAACAGAACGTCAACGGTTTCTTGTAGACGTATCTGTTTTAAAAAAGTAAAGTGTTCTCGAATAGTTGAATTTAAATATTTTAAATAGTTTTTTTCTTACTCTTTGTATTTTTTTTGCTTCCGACGACGGAAAGTGATAAACTTTCCGAAACGTTAAGCATTTTTTTCTTAGTTCTGGCAAATTTGTATAACTGTAAACATAATTTCTGACAAGCAGTGTCCGTTTAGGTTTAACGCAGAAGTGTTTACAAAAAATAACTATTTGATTTTGTTATAATAACTATTTTCCTGCAGTGCAGTGGCGAAATACACATAAAGGACTTTTTTGGAGAGTTAATAAAAATAATAAAAAATCCAAACAAAGAGACTTACCTGAAGCTATCCATCCTACCTAAACCAAACCCAAATAAACCAGCCTACGAGGTATCAGAAAATCTGGACGAAAAGCCATGCAACAACGACGGGAATTATCGGATAAGTCAGTGTATAAAGCGCCACCACTTTCCAGAAGAAAGACATCGAGAAAACTACTGCTGCCCCGTGCTGGCGCCAAACCACTTTCTAGAGTGCATTTTCATCGGTATTCCCCATCTTCCTTCGTATCGTCCCTACATCTACCCCTTTCCCTAGGTCCGTCCTTGTTCCACGCACGCGGATCTTGAGAGAGACAAGCATGTTCTTTTCGTCCTGTTCCTTTCTCATCCCTTTCGGACTAGGTCTATCTTGCTTGCACTTGTTCAGGAGTGGAATAGGAGCGTCTTTGTCGGGTTTATCGTGGTGATATGGGCCCTTGTATGTGCCAGATCGATATTGCATTCGCGGGCTAAAAATAGGGGCGAGCCTAAGGGCCCTGGCGACGAGTGATTTTTCACATAGTGACAGAGGAACTGGAAGAAAAGTGCAGTAATTAAAACTGTACAGGGTGCTTTTTTTCTTGTTGTTTTTCATCCCCAAAGGGTAGAAAGTGACTCTATTAAAAAAGTGCAAGTGCTTCTCTTTCCTGGAGGTTGATATCATAGCATTTTGTGCAATTCTATCATCTGTAATTCTTTCTACATATTCCTTCCATTTGTTTTTATATACTTTTACTTTTTCTTCTAATGGTTGTATTTTTAGTTCATTTCTTATTGGGTGTCATTTCTTATTCTATCTTCTCTACTTACTCCTTTTATTTTTCATAAGAATGTCATCTCCATTGTTCTGAGTCTTTGTTCTTTAACTTTTGGGGTAGTCCAGGCTTCACTTCCATATAATACTATCGATACCGCTAATGTATTATACAGTCTTACTAGCGTTTCTAGCTGTGCTTTGTTTTTAAAAGTTTTTGCGATACTTCCACACACTGATTGGAATTTTTTTTTCAAGTATAGTCGTTATCTTTATCATAGGTTACATCGCATCCCAAGAAACTGAAGTGCGATATTTGCTTTAGTGGTTTATTTCTTAAAAAGTGTGCCATCAGTTTTGATTTTCGATAGATATTTTTCCATCATATTGAGATGAACCTGCCTTTGTAAGGTATTCTCGTCTGAGACGACTTCATCACTTGGTCCTCTGCAAACAGCAGTATATTCAGAAAATATTGTCGGTCTATTTGGATACCTCTTGGTGCTATCTCTTGGTCTAGATCATATGAATATTATACATAATATCTTCTCTTTACCATTTTTCAAATAAGTCCAAAATAACCAAGTTATCGAAGTTGGAAAATTTAAAAAAAAATGATAACCGCCAGATTTTTCTGTATTTGCATCCCTTTTAGTGTTGTAACCATAGAGTAAAGCCGCAACCATATAGTAATATCAGAGATTAAGAAATTATACCGTGAGAAAATTTGCGGTAAACGGGCAGCTCTAAAAAGTTTTCTAAAGTATATAGGAAAATTAAAAAAAAATGCACAATTTTCAACATTTTTTTAAGAAAAAACCCTCATAGATGTGTTGCTGGGGTCGAAATATATTTATATTTAAGACTCTGATATACTGTTATGCTAATTTTTTTCCGTATGGATATTATATTTAATGATACTAATGTTATTTAACTTCGATGTAATTCAGAAATGCTTTTGGCGGGTGCTGAAACTAAACAAACGGTTTGTTTACATTTTGCATCTCTATGTTGGGCCAAAACAAATCAATATTATGTATATGGTTTATATGTCTGTGGTTTTAAGTAACGCCGATGCCAATAGCCGTTAGATATGTCTCATATTTCCCTTTACAATTTTTCATCCTCCTTTTCAAAAGTTTGACGAAAAATTCTGATGAACAGCATGCTTTCATTATACTATAAATAACAGTTGTTAATGTTAGTTTTTAACTAGATTCCAACGAAAAATCTAGTTTTTTTCTTCCACCTTTGCATTTCGTACCCAAGCCAAGTTTTTTTCAGAAGAGGGGTTGGAAATAGACAAACCGGAAAAAAATCGTACCCATTTAAAAAAGTGATTTAAAGGGGGCCGTTCTTAGATACCTGCTTTTTCAAGTCGTGCAGGGTTGTTTTACCTAGAGGTAAGTTACCGTTGGGCGAGCCTACGGGGCAAAATAAATTGGAGTATAGTACGAGGGAAAGTATAATAATTTTAAATTATAGGTTTCGATGTTGCAAGGCTCTATCGACCTATTTAATATGTGATTCTATTAAGGTTAAAATCTCAGATTGTTGTCGTTTTTTGTTGATATATAATTTAAAAAGTATTAATAAATTTAAGATCTAAGATTTATAGACGCCTAGACCTGTAAACTAAAACTGTAACTAAGCCTGTTGGTCTATACCTGTAGTTTAAGTTAAAAAATACAAATAATCTAAACAACAGTTGTTACCTGTAATTCTGGGGGTCCACCTTCATCCCTTATAAGCAGCAAATAGCTCTGATTGTCCACCAATATCTCTTTCTTAAATCTACCACCTTCCGGAGATTCTTCCTGCATGTAAGATCCTGTAAGGTACCTGTGTACCAAAGCTGATTTTCCTGAACTCAGTGAACCGACTATTCCCAATCTTAAATCGGGAACTGATCGAGACAGGGTCCATTCCTGGGAGTTGACAAATGAATCTGGAAAGAATAAAAAACGTTATAAAAATATTCATCAACAAGATAATGGTAGAAGATTATTTTAAGATAGATAAGATATTTTATTGATTTTATGGAAAGCACTGTTCATTAAAATGTTGTATCCTATGTTATAGAGCTTGTTTCTCTCTACAATTTCCTGTCTCACACTGTACCGTTTGTGTCCAGGAAGGGTTCATATTTTCATAGATGTCGATTTTCGAAAGAAATCGGTACATTTATTTTATTTCGTATATTTTTCATTTCATTGATTTTATGGAAAGCACTGTTCATTAAAATGTTGTATCCTATGTTATAGGGCTTGTTTCTCTCTACAATTTTCTGTCTCACAATGTACTGTTTGTGTCCAGGAAGGGTTCATATTTTCATAGATGTCAATTTTCGAAAGAAATCGGTACATTTATTTTATTTCGTATATTTTTCATTTTATTGATTTTATGGAAAGCACTGTTCATTAAAATGTTGTATCCTATGTTATAGCGCTTGTTTCTCTCTACAATTTCCTGTCTCACAATGTACCGTTTGTGTCCAGGAAGGGTTCATATTTTCATAGATGTCGATTTTCGAAAGGAATCAGAACATGTATATTATTTCGTATATTTTTCATTTTATTGATTTTATGGAAAGCACTGTTCATTAAAATGTTGTATCCTATGTTATAGGGCTTGTTTCTCTCTACAATTTCCTGTCTCACAATGTACCGTTTGTGTCCAGGAAGGGTTCATAGTTTCATAGATGTCGATTTTCGAAAGAAATCAGAACATGTATATTATTTCGTATATTTTTCATTTTATTGATTTTATGGAAAGCACTGTTCATTAAAATGTTGTATCCTATGTTATAGGGCCTGTTTCTCTCTACAATTTCCTGTCTCACAATGTACCGTTTTTGTCCAGGAGGGGTTCATATTTTAATAGTTGTCGATTTTCGAAAGAAATCAGTACATTTATTTATTTATTATTATTATAATAATAATAGCAGTATATAAAATAAAAATATTACAAGTAACAATATAGGAGAAAGTCTCTGTTTGTGAGTACTCTACAGGTTAGGTTAGGTTAGGATTGATTCATATTTTGCCCATCTCTAATAGAGCTAATAGCTATGTTGTGTAGTGATCATTATAATTTTTGTCGAATGTTGTAATATTTTCAAAATTTTATTATGCCTTATAAATCCAGAATAATTCTCTTTAACATAAATCTACAATAACATAATATATTTATGTTACAAAATGCATACTAACACAAGTGCAAATCTAACTACATAAAAAATGTTTCGGTATTTCTTGTAATTTATAATGTAGCGAAATTAACAATAAATAATGTGCTTATTAGGTATAAATTGTAATATAAATAAGGTCAGTTTTGCAATGACCAGGTTTTTTTAATTTGCTGAGCTTATTACAATAATTCGAATAGCAATATTGTTGCAAACAGAAAATGCATGAATTCCGGAACATATACATTTTTTTCTTAGAAATACAGTTAAATATATAGGTATTAAATACCAAAACATATGCTTTAAGAAATATTGAAATATTATTGAAAAATATCTTAAATTGTATATGGTCTTCCTCATAGCTGCAAGAAAATAATTATATATGGTATACACATTTCCGGAATAAGGCAATTTCAGATACAGTAAATATATTATTACATTAACTTTTACTGAGTTACAAAAAGTAAAATTTTATTTATGCAGTATTTTCTATATGAACAATATGTGAAGTGAAACGGTAGGCGGTAAAAGAGGTGTGAACAAGTAGTTTTGGTAGTTATTTGAAAAATAACATTATTTATTACAATGTTTTGTTAGAATTTATAAATTAATTTTTACATAAACAAATTATGTGTTAATCAATTATTACTAGAAATTTGATGATATTCTCATCAGAATCACACTTTTTATATCTAACTAGCGTATACCCGCGACTTCGTTCGTGTCGAATTAATCATTTGAAATGGTGAAGATAAAACAAAGCAAGAATTTCAATTAACATACAAACTGGATAAAATTTTCTCACATTTATGTCAGCATGAGAAAAAATAATCGAGAATTCCCTTCTTATAGAACCTCTACACCCCACAGTCAATCCGTTTGCCAAAAATCAGCTTTAAACGTCAAGCAGTTTAAGCAGAACCGTGATTACTCAATGGTCATATTTTATGAAACACCCTGTATAAATTTTTAAAAAATCTTAAAATATGTAAAAGAACAAAATAAAATATACGTGTTTAAGAATTTTTCCGAAAAACTCACCGGTTTTTAAATAAAAAATATTCTAATATTTGAGGGGTGGTTTCACCTCCTTAAAATTCGAGTTTCGAAAAATCCCTTCTTATCGAACCTTTACACCCTAAAGTCAATCCGTTTTCCAAGAATCAGCTTTTTATTTCAAACGCTTTAAGCAGGATCGTGATTAATCAATGACCAGATTTTTCGAAACACCCTGTATACATTTTTAAAAAATCTTAAAATATGTAAAAAAACAAAATAAAATATACGTGTTTAAGATTATAGATTATAGATACGTGTTTTAAGTTAATAAAATATACGTGTTTTAAAAAAATATTATAATATTTGGGGGTGGTTTCACCCCCTTGGAACTGGAATTTCGAAAAATCCCTTCTTATCGAACCTCTACACCCTAGAATCAAATTGAGCTCCTACGCCAAAATTGAGCTTCTTACGTTGATTGAGCAGGATCGTGATTAATCAGTGTAATTTTATATATTGGTATAGATTGTAAAAAACTTTTTCAATTGTCAACTATTTCAATCATTGTTTTGTATTAGTCTTCCTCCTTAAGAAGTACAGTTTATACTAAGTACGTATATATTCCCACTAATTAATAACACAGAAGACAAGCACTGTTTAAAATAGTACTAATTTAATATTCCAGATAATAAATTATAGACCATCTCCTACGGAAAAGGAGAATAAAAAGAAAATCTACAGAATCCTGATTGTATCTGCGCTTAAACGCTCAAGGTAATGAAGACATAAATTTCCTACGTGTACGGAGGAATAATCAGCAACGCTTTTTACGTTTTACTGATTGAGATCAGATTGTGGCTAATCCGGTTTGAAGGACTGGCAAAAATCAAAAATAAACAGCCTAGGCTTATCAGTTATTATCTAACATGGTCCGTAATAAGATTAAATAATCATTTTCATGCTTGAAAATACATCCCTACGCGTTAATATTGAAGTATAATATGATATTAATAACATTATCTTAGTTTATTAATAAAAAATCGCTGTAAACTTAGGTTAGTGTTAATTATCAATTATTAAAGTTTGTCTAAGAGGATAGATATACAGTATAATCAGAGAGAGTTGTTAATTTACAGGAAAACTGGATTTTTTAAGATTTGTACTTTATACTTAGGAGTATATAAAAAGGATAATCCATAAATTGGATTATCATTTAAAAAAAAGAGAAAACTTTCGATATTTCTTTAGTTACTACAAATGTTCGTTATGGCATTATGAAATGCTTATTTTTATTGGTAAAATTAAATATTGCACGTTATACAGACCGGACCACCGTAGTAGTAACATAGGCAGAACCGGACGAATTAGCGTTCCGCAGGATAAAAAGCAGGCAAAAAATGCGATAAAATAAAAATAGGTAGATATGTGATAAGAATGTTTCAGAATTTGTATTTATTCGTATTTTAATAGCCAAAACGAATACATAGATTCTCACGACAGTTCTCGTGTAAAATTTATTTTTTAGTAAAATAATGGATGTTTACGAAGTTCGTGAGAAAATTCAAATTGTAAAATGGTATTTCCAAAATAGGTCTTATCGGGATACACAAACAATTTTTCTACAAACTTTTGTAGACAGGCCCCTTCCATCTTCACCTACTGTATCAAGAGTTATTAATAATTTTGAAACACATGGGTGCGTGTTCCCACAAAAACACAAAAAGCCTGATGTGTTGATTAATGAAGAACAGGAGTTAAAGCAAGTGTTCATTTGTGCTACCGCGGATCAAAATCCCACGTTTTCAAGTAATCAAATTGCTGAGGTGGTTGTCCTGCCCACAATGCCCGTATTGTTCACGAATATTTGAACAATATTTTTCCCAACCGTTTAATTAGTGGACATGGAACTATTTTGTGGCCGGCTAGATCATCAGATCTTTCTCCCAATGACTTATTTTTGTGGGGTTATGTAAAATCCAAAGTGTATGGTCATAATAGGGCTAATAATCTGGATGAGCTTCAAGTCAAAATACGAGAGGCTTTCCAAACTATTAGCCCTAATATGTTAGCCAATGTCAGACGGGGATTTTACGACCGCCTGGGTTTCTGTCTAGCACAAGAAGATGGTCTTTTTGAACACTTGTTATAATTTTTTTTTATTCAGAGTAATATTTTAGTTTTTTTTTGGGTTTAGAGAATTTATTTATTTTTAGTTTTGGCTTGTAAACACACTCAAATAATAAATATTTAAGTATTTTCATTTTGAATGTTACCTTAAGTGAAGGTAAACACTTAAAATGAAAATAATAAATACTCGGCACTCCTCGAGTCGTATTCCTATTCTGTCATGACCGACCCGCCCAAGCACAACTGCAACTGCGTACTGCCTGACCAGCCGACTAGCCGGCAGTGAATCTCGAGTACGAACGCAAAACGGGTAAACGTAAATTCGTCCGGCAACTTGCTATGTTACTAGTAGCCTGGTCTTTTCTGTATACTGATGTTTCCAAACCAATTTACCTGTTTCACGATCGAAAAAGAAAAATGGCATCAGCGATGGCTATGAAATGAAGATCGCTGTCATTTTATATGGGAAATATCATTGACCGTTTTTTTATCATACGGTACAATTGACATGACTTAAAGTCTGTCCACCGAAACAAGGAAGATTTCGACAGATGACATTCAAAAAATTACAAAAAATACAATTTACTTATAAATTAAAATGACAGGTACCGTTGCGATAAAAAAAAGTAGTACAA